GGAGAATGGCTCTTCTAAAACGTTGTTCGTGTACTGTGGTTTTGATACTCAATAGGACGCATCATTCCGCATTTGTGAGAACTTTCACTGTGTCGTGTATAGTGGGGTGTATGCAGTATAAAGTAATGTGCTGCTGCAACATCTTGAGTTCGAAGTCTTGACGGAAATAACGATTTTTATGGGACCTTGATGCCCGAAAACTGTTTCGTTTAACAAATCTATTGAGGGCCTGATAAAATGTTTCATAAAATGACTACCTGGTCGATACCTGGTCAATCTGGCAAAGTCGAGACTGCGAATTTGAATAGGATATTTTAATTTTGGTTGTAATGATAATATATTTACTTGAAGTTTTTTTGAAAAAGGGAAATATTTTTCTTTTCATTTTTTGCTTCAAAAGAATTAAGTGCTCTTAAATGTATGACTTTCTTTTAAATGTCTAAAATTTTAATTTTTTAACCTGTTCTTCCTGTTCAATATTAAAGTTGTATATTTCTTTATTACGCAATATTACTTAATTTTAAATCTTGCCGTTATTTTTTTGAAATTTAATTTTTTTCTGAAGTATTAGGTTTTGCGTTATTTAAAGCGAACACGTGATAATTTCCTTAACAGGTAAACAACATTTACTATAAACAGGTCCTTTTTTTCTTTAGCTTTTTATAAAGTTAGTATGTTAGCATAGTACATTAGAAATAGGGAATTAGTTTTTATGACATATTTGTCGTTTTCATTAAAACGTTAGAATTGTTAAAAATTAATATGTATTTTTATAGACTCGTCAAGGATTTAAGCGTCGCCTGTTCTCGGCAGTAAAGTGGAAAACACGTTAAATGCAGAAACGAATATCCTTCAGTTCAAATCTTAGCCACGACTAATATTTTCCGATTGGGAACACTCTCAGACGTACTTGTGGGTAAATGAGGCGATCCCCAAATGAAGTAACCCGTCTTTTGCATCTTTCGATAATAGAGTTCAAATGTGCAAGCATTTCACACGGGAATCACTATTAATACATCAGTTACAAGTAATACGATAATGAGCTCGCTCGTTTTAAATGTAATGACGTACTTGTTTGCGTATTTGCTAGGTTTGCAAGAATATATTCGTATACTAACCTCCTCCCCTGAGATTCCTATTTTTGAAGAAACGAGATGGACCCCTTTAAAATGCTTTTGAAGCAGTAGAATAATTTGATCGGTATACACCATCATGTTGGTTCAGTACAGTCGATGCCTTTACATCAACTTGAAAGAAGAAAGATTTACTCAATGAAGAATTTTATTTTAAAATGTTGCAATACAACATAATCAGCGTTTCAAGATTTCAGTAATAAGTGATGAATGAAAAATAATGATTCTTCGATTGAATTCATTAAAAATGGGAATTGGTGTTGAGCGATTTTGTTTTGAATATTTAGTATTACAGTCATAGTCATAAATGTCGATCAAAGTACAGGCGAACAATACTGAGCAATAGGAATCTTCTTTTCCGAACAAGTCATCGCCTAAATCCGAAGATTTATTCTGGCTCAGGAGGCGCGGCAGATAACCTTTCTGTTCGGAGCTTCGAGGATAATTAGGAGTCGGTCGCCGCGCGGTGGCCTCCGGTTTGCCAATTGAAACATCAGGTGGGCGCCGAATGTTTGCGTTCGCAGCCCACGACCACTGGCGCTTTTTTTTTTTTTGAGGGACCTGCGAGAG